AACAGCACAGAGTACAGACAGCGCAGCTCGCCCGACAGCGACCTCGAAGAAGACATCACAGACTGAAAGGTTCTTAGGGATGAGCAGGATGAGGACTGAGTATCTAAACAGTAGTGAAGTTAGGAAGTTAAAGAATAGGTCTGGAGTTTTCTGCAGTTTACTGTTGATAAACGGCATGAAAACACCAAAATGCACTGTTAGTGAAGCGTTAGGACTCTTTAAATCTCCAAAAACAGCTCAGATACGTAGTTTTATTTTTTAAAATCATCTCCTAAAACGGCTCGATGCCTCCATTTCTTCTGCTTATCCAAAGTCGGGTCACTTCTAGGCTCAGCAGGTTATGCCAGATATCCTTTTTCCCCAGTGACCTTTCCCGTTCCCCCTGCGGCATCCCAAGGTGTTCCCAGTCAAAATGAGATAAGGGTCTGCTAGGGGGTCTCCTCCCAGTTAAAAACCTATAGAGGGAAGTGACCAGAAAGCAGTTTTTATTGAATTTATTGACAGTAGAAGCTTTACAGAAATCACAAGAGTCCTTTTTGAATATTTAAGACTACCACATGTTCAGCTCATTTTAGATAGATAGATATCTATATTCTATACCCTAAAGAATATTCTCTTTAGGGTGTTTTCACTTCTTGTTCCTGAGGGTGTCTCCCGTGGCCATATCCTTTTTCTTTGCTCACTTTGTCCTTTAGCAGTGAAGACAAGCAATATGGAGACAGCTGCTTCACAATCATTACAGAGGCAGTTCCATGACTGATCCACATGAAATCTCTGGCCCATGTAGCATTGCGTGCAGCTTTCAGGTCAGCAGTAACTTGAAATGGTTTTCCAGCCTTGTGTTTTCAGTCGGAAGCAGTAAACCGACAAACTAACGAAGTAAACTTTGAGGCCATCAGTCGTCTGCGTCCTTCTAATCGGGACGACATTGACGCAGTTACAGTCATTTCCTCTGGAAAAAGGTTGAGTGTTGGGGCCAAAATGCCCAACCTTTAAAAATTCAGCAATAATTCTCAAATACATGTTTCCCATGTAAATCGTCCCGACTTTCTCTTTGTAACACTACGGCAAGTTTAGTTCTTCGGTCTGTGGAAATCTGGATTGGCAGCAGCAGAATTTCTTCAGTAGCTCTGTGCTGTTGTGTCGAGACGCAGCAGCAGAACTGAAATTAATAAACTCATTTGTAGCCGCCTGTTGCGAAAAGCTCAAATATTTGACCAATCAGAAAATGTGAAACACTTCTGCAAAATATCCCAGCAGAACATTTTCTTCTAATAGAAACAGGGAGGATGCTTTGGTTTGCTGTAATCATTCCCGCTTTTCATACTGGGTCCGAAGAGATTTGGCCGCAGATCATAAATGAATAAATCTAAAAATAATAAATAAAAGGAGCTTTGGGAAGTCGGACCCACTCAAAGCAAACCTCACAGCGTTGCCGCTCATCACAAACATGTTTCTGCAGGTTTAATCTAAACTGCACCGACACATCCACTGTACATTCTTTCAGACGAAGCTCATCGTTCAGGTACAGGAGGTGGGCTCGTTTCTCACCTGGCGTTCAGCAGCTCGTCCAGTTAAAGTGTCGTGAAAGCTGCTAGCGTTGTGTTGTGTTTCGTGAACTCTCCGGGGGGACGGTAGACGATCCTGGTGTTTAAACACAGGAGCTGTAGAAACTTCGGACACTCAGAGTGACACTCATGGTTTATTTCAGACACGAGCAGTTCCTTTACATGTTTCTTTGCACCTTTTGTGGGTCCGTTTGTCTCTGACCCACACACACAGTCATTGTGTACCTAAGTGGGTTTGATGTAGTGGTTTATTTATTGACTTATTTTACAATAAAATGGGATTTTTAAGAATTCCTGCAGCATTCGTATTTTTTTGTTTAACATTTATTGTGACTCTTCCGGTGTTGCTTTTATTCACACGGCTCTGAGTCTCATTTCACGTCAAATAAAGCATGTAGAACCCTTTATACCATGAAAGTCTTAGTCACAAAATGTTTTTATTTACCTTTCCTGCTGGATTGAGCAAATATGACAAATTCATCAATCCATTCTCTTCATCCATCCACTTATCTTTGTCAGGGATGCAGGGAGGATGTAGCGTATCCTAGATACCATCAGGCGAGAGGCGGGATACACCCTGGACAGGTCACCAGCCAGACGCAGGGCTAACACAGAGAGACAGACAACCGCTCGCACTCATAGTCACACCTATGGGCAATTTAGATTCTCCAATTAACCTAACCCCACTAACTGCATGTCTTTGGGCTGTGGGACTGTGGGAGGAAGGCTGAGTACCCGGAGAGAACCCACGCAAACGCACAGAAATTTGTGAATCAGATTTGGACCCACCTGCATGTTTGCAACTAGGAAAGCTTATTTTATAAAACAAAACAGCTGATTCTGAGCTGGTGTTGGATGGGAGCCACTAATTTTAACTTACTCACTGGCATTTTTAAGCAACTTAGTCACAACACAACTGAATCAGAAATGATAATTTATTCTCTCTCCTCTGAGTCTCCTCACGCTCTTATAGTGAACATAAGCTCTGCATAAACAAGAAGGCCCGCTCAGCCAGAGTGTGAGCACCAGCATCATGTCATCAATCACAGATTTCATTATAATTTGCAGAAAGTCAGCAGTGACAGGTTTCTGCCTCCTTCGGCTTGTCCTGTTCTTGTAGGCAGCCAAGTTTTGAGGCCTCTCTGCAGAGGCTGGAGGTTCAACGCCCCTTTAACTGCTGTCTTAGCTCTGCTATGTGAGCAGGGCCGATACGACAGCATCCCCCTGTAAGACAGAGAAGAGCTACTCAGAGAAAATGCTGCAAAACAGAAGAAGACTGAGTATAAGAGAAAGCAGCTGAGCTCACCTATCAGAGCAGCGCCCTGCTTCACCCACATGTGGCTCAGATCAGGCGTCCATCCTGATGGTTTTCCTGATATTTGCCACCTTTGCATGAAAAAAAGATTCTTTACTGAATCCACACAGATATTTAGCAGATTTTCTTTTTTTCTCTTTAAGGAATCAAGTTTTTATGGTAGCTTTATGTTGTATTTACAGAATGTAAACACGTTGATGTGAGGCGTTTAGACAGTAGTGTGTTAATTTAGCTTCAGACTCACCCCCGCTCAGTGTCCCACTCCTCTCCGCTGTTAGGGTACACCACCCAGCTCGTGTTTGAGACGTGCAGCGGTCCAGCAGAGTCCAGCAGCGACTCCACCACGTCTGGAGGACAGCAGTTGACTCCCACAGCGAGCAGCTGCGTGGATCTCTCAGCGACCCGCACGGCGTCAGCGAACAGGCTGCCGTCCGATATACGCTTCTCGTCCTGATGGCGAGGCGAGTCATTGTGTGACTAACAACGAACTAATACGGATCTTTCGTCATCGCTGTTCACCGGCAGCGATTACCTTACAGGAGAACGACAGCCAGGCTTTCGAGTTTGGAAACTCCCTCAGCAGCTCCACCACAGCCTCCGCCTCTTTGATGCTCGGGATTGTCTCAAAGGCGATGAGATCAACTCCCGCAGCTGCTAAGCAGTCAATGTGAGGCCGGTGCCAAACTTTAAGCTCCTTCAAATAGATTAAAGACACCTGAGAACATTTATTCACACCTGTCTCAGCAGTAAATGGATCTATAAACTTACTGAGAACAACATCAGAAGGATCAGGCAACATAAATAATCAAATCTGACCCCCTTAGATTCAGAATTGTGCAAAATGTTCCCTTCATACTGTGAATATTTTCAGTTTAAGGCAAAGTACAGAAGACCTTTCATATGCTCATATGGTAATATGAGCTGAACGTTTACCCAGAATCCACGTTTTGAAGTATTCTCCAATGGATTATCCAAAAACATCCAGGGTACCTATGCTGGTTTTTGTTCTCCTGCGTCAGAGATGTTAAACTGCTGCAGTTTTGCTGCTAATTATTAGTGTACACAGCTTAAATGTTTAAAATTACAATTAAAATGTCATATAGATCTCTGTTGTACTCAAAATGCTAAAATTTGTTTGTAATTCTGAAAATAGCCATAGTATTAAGGTAAAAAGTGTCATAGTGTCATTAAATATACTGAAGTTATTGTCCCAAAAAAGGAGGTACTTAATGATTTTTCATGAAACGAACCGAAAATATAAACAGAACCAGAACCAGAGATATAAACAACTATTCTGGGTAATCTTCTCAAAGCAGGCAT